GTTGTGGATCCCTTTCACCTCCAAGTTCTTCTAGATGAGAAGAATCCGATGAAGAGCCACCAAGAACAAGAATGAGAAGATTGCAAGAAATCTATAATTCTACGTATCCTACTCATGATGAAGGTGTTGTTTTGTTTGCATTTTTTGCAGGTAAGGATCCAATTCTATATGATACAGCAATAAAAGAAGAAAAATGAAGAAAAGCCATGAAGGTAGAAATTGATGCCATTAAAAAGAACAATACGTGGGAGCTCACAAATCCGCCACCAAACAAGAAACCTATAGGAGTAAAGTGGGTGTTCAAAGAAAAGATGAAGACTAAAATGAGGTATTCGCTCCGGTCTCAAGACTTGACACTATTCGACTTATAATTTCTCTAGCTGCTTAAAATAATTGAAAGCTCTTGCAAATGGATGTTAAATCCGTGCTTTTAAATGGTTTTATCCAAGAAGAGATTTATGTTGAACAACCACCTTGTTTTGTGAAGGAGGGAGAAGAACATAAAGTTTACAAGTTGAAAAAGACCTTGTACGGTTTAAAACAATCGCCAAAGGCTTGGTATAGTAGAATCAATGCATTTTTTTGATACAAATGGTTTTCATAAAAGTCCAAATGAACACTCTCTATACCAAAAATGGTTATGATGGAAGTTTCATTATAGTAAGTCTTTATGTTGATGATCTTGTCNTTTTTTTGAAACAAATGGTTTTCATAAAAGTTCACATGAACATACTCTCTACACCAAAAATGGTCCTGATGGAAGTTTCATTATAGTGCGTCTTTATGTTGATGATCTTGTCTTCACTGGAAATAATCGAGCTATGTTGGATGATTTTAGAGCTTTGATGGTGAAAGAGTTTGATATGACTAATTTGGGAAAATTACATTATTTTTAGGTATTGAAGTACACCAATCAAAAAGTGAATTTTTTTATTACTCAAGAGCAGTATGCTAGAGAGATTCTAAAAAAGTTTAAGATGGAATTTGTAAATCTTGTCTCAACTCCATGCATTTTAGGCCAGAAACTTCGATAAGAAGG